AATTATAGCCCCTGAGTAGGCTGGCCAAGGAGGCTGAGGAGGGAGGACTGGAAAGGGCAGAGGGAGAAGGGGCACCCAGCAGCCCTCCTTCTTACCCCTGCCAAAGGAGCCCCTCACGTGAAGACAGGAGAACAAGGTCAAGGAGAGGCATGCACAGAGCCAGAATTGGGGGAGAGGTTCTGGGGAGCCCTCTACAGTCCTTCAGCTCATGCCCTTGGGCTCTTCCAGAACCAGCCCAGCCCCTGTGGGAGGAACACCCTTGACTAGATGTCACAGTGAAGTATTTGGGACTCTTTCAGCTTCCATACTTGAATTCCGCCCACTCTACCCCTAGTCCAGCACTAGAATTGAAAGGACACCAGGTCCCAGTGCGGACACATTTCTCCCTGCTCTTTGGATAATGGACAGGATGGCAGTGTTGACAAACCTCTCTCCAAAGCCATGCCACAAGCAGGATGATCCCAGGTGGGAGTGGATCCCAGGCCTGGAGAAGTCTGTATAGGTCACCAATTCGGTGAGCTGCAGCCTTTTTTCAAGTGGCAAAGCCTCACAGCAAAAGAAAATCCCCACTTGGAAGCCCATTAGAAAAGTGGCATTTACCACTGGTATGTGCACGCATTTCAAAACAGTGCTTCCTAATTACAGAAAAAGGAGATGCTGCAAATCAACTTTATAACTGTCAAAGCAGTTTAGATTTATAAGACACAAGTGATAAAATGCAGTAAATGCATTTGGTAAGTTGCAAACATATAACATTTACTAATTGTAAAGGCACCTTGCTGACAGCCCGAAAGAGGTGTTCATGAACTGAAAACATGCAAAGCAAAGTTGCAATCACTTACGTCTCTGCATCCAATTTATTTCTGTATTTTCTTTGCTTACTTAGGCCTGGGAAAAAACTAGATTTGCATAGATAAGGGGTTTGAGGAGCATCAGTGGAAATCTCAGTATACTCTTTAAGAAAGTCGATTTATTCATTTATTGAGTGCCAAATATGTGCTAGGTCATCTGCTGAGACCTGAACAAGTGGGAAGAAATACTTTTTCAATGTAAACCGTAACTATAACAATTATAAGTATTTACATTCCTCATTGGGTATTTAAGTCACATATTAGTATTTTTCTTCACACTATCACAATATTACAACATACCATGTATAACTTCCCAACATAAAGTGTTTTCCCCCATGAAGATGAGCCAGTGCTGTGCCTGGGAAGAACATGTATGTCTAATCATACATGTGACTGGCTAGTTTTGAAGAAATAAAACCACTAATGATTCACGACTTTCAAATATATGCATAGAGATCCAAAGAGCATGGATCATGCCTTCTTTCACTTGATATTTACCAAGTTACTACTATGAATCGGCTGCCGAGGTTTCTAGAAATGCCATGGTAAACTAAACACCCTTACCTTTGTGATTGATCCCATGTCAACCAATGATCAAACTGACAGAGAAGATCATCAAAAAGTGTCAGTGTCACCAAGGAAAGGAGCAGGGTGACCTGGAGTAAGGGAAGGAGGTACTTGAGAGGGCATGTTCAGAGACATTTGAGCTAAGACCTGATATACGAAAAGCAGCCCATTCTGGGCAGAGCCCAAGGGACAGTGCTATAAGCTTAGAGCAGCAAGTGCAAGGCTCTGAGGCAGGATCCTGGCCAGAGTGCTGAAAGAAACCAAAGGAGGTCGGGCAGACTGGAATGGGGCCATGGAAGGGAACAATGACTCTAGATGAGTTGGAGAGAAAAGCCAAAGCCAGCTCCTACAGGTCCTGTAAACCAGGGTAAGGAGATGAGATATTCTTCTAAATGCAGCAAGGAAGTAGGAGTTTAAAGTAGAAGTGTGGTGTGATCTAATTTATGTTTTTAAAGGTTTACTGAGGCTGCTGTGTAGTGAATGGATTACTACAGGGGCCAGAGCAGCCAGGTTATTGGAGTCATCCAGCCCAACCGTGTGGCAGCTTAGTACAGGACAGTGACACTGGGGATGGATGGACTTAGGAGATGTCTTAGAGGTAGACAGGACATCCTCATGCACAGATGTCTTGTGTTAGTCAGCTTCCTTTTGCTGTGATAAAACACCTGACACCCGCAACTTAAAGGAGGAGATGTTTACTTTGGCTCATGATTTCAGAGGTGTCAGTCCCTGGTCAGTTGGCCCCAAAGCAGAAATACCATGGTGGAAGAGCATGGCAGAGGAAATCCACCCACCCTGTGACATTCAGGAAGCAGAGATCAGGAGAAGGGATCAGGGACCAGACGTGGTCCCCATGGTCATGCCTGTATGGCCCATCCAGACACATGCATAAGTGTCCTTTACTTCTCCAAGGTATCTCTCAAGCCAACGAAGTTGATTTCATACCTCCCCTCTGGAACTCAGCCCCGTGAATCCTCCTGCCTATTCTATATCTCCCCTGGGTGTTTAACATGAGTTTCAAATTTTACTCAAGCTGGACTCTGGATCTGCCACCTGAACACCAGCTCTTTCGCCATTCTTAGCTCCTCTCTTCTCCCCAGATCCACATCCAATCCTGAATAAATTTTGCTGGCTCCATCTTGGAAATCCATCTGGAACTGAACCACTTTTCACCAGCTCCGCTGCTGCCACCCAAATCTAGGTGGCATCATCACTCGCTTGGATTTCATGATAGCATCCTGACTGGTCTTGCTTCTGCCCTTGCCCTCCGGTCACCAGTATGTCTCTGTTAAAATGAGTTGGGTGGTCCGGGGATTTAGCTCAGTGGTTCCACTGCCTGCCTCGAAAGCGCAAGGACCCAAGTTGGATCCCCCGTACAAAAAAAAAAAATGAGTTGTGCAATGACACTCACTTCTCCTGCTCAAGCCCTCCAAAGGCTTTCCATCTCAGAATACAATCCCTTCTCTCCCACTCTGACCCATCTCCCCCATTCTCCCCTGGCTCACTCTGTTCATCCCAAGGAAGCAACATTTGACATTTCAGATAACCAGATATATAAAAAGCAGCCAATCATGAGCTGACAAGGGAAAGTACTACAAACTTCGAGCAGCAAGTAGAAGCTCTGAGGTAGCATCCTGACCAGAGCATTGAAAGAAAGGAAGAGAGGTCAGGCTGAGTGGAATGGGGCTATCAACAGTGATGAGAGCTGGAGAGACAAGCTGAAGCCAATTTATGACTCATAGACATATAAGCCTCCTTTCTGTGCTTTAAACCTGAAAACCATGGTACTGCCCCAGGACCTTTGTACGTATTCCTCCTTCTATGTGGCCCCAGATTTCTGCTTCTGCCTCCCTGCATTCAGGTCTCTGCTCTAATGTAAGTAGCTCAGAGAGGCCTTCCCGATGGCCCCGTATAGTAAAATAATTTTCATCACTTTGTTGTTCCCTTCTCTTGCTTTATTTGTCTTTGCAGAATTTGTAACCTCCTGACATTGTATGCTTGATTGCTTATTTGTTTGTCACCCTGCCCTGTTGTATGCACCATGCAGGCAGAGCCGGCTCTAGCATACAGTGGACACTCCATAACTCTGCAAAGTGACACAATGGAGCGAAGGGGCAGCTTCAGTGCTACTCCCACTGCCAGAAGATGAAGTAGGTAACGTCCCCAAAGAGCCTTCTGGATCTGGTAGGAGGAGAGAGATCCCCTGGGTCCTGAGAGGCCAGCTAGGATGGCTTCTGGAAGTTAATGGAAAAGGCTTGGAGATCACTCTTGCTTAAATTTCCAGAGTCCAGGAAGGGAGACCAGGTTAAGAGTGCAGAACTACAGGTGTCAGTGAGCCTGCAGGGAAGAGGTACAACTGACGCGTCCAGAGAAACTGAGCCTGGAGACTCCATGGGTCCCGCCAGGGTTCAGCACCACAGGCAAAGGCCAGGAAGCCTGCTCAGGATACCATGCAGCAGCTGTTGGGGACCCAGGCCAGCCCCCTTGCCACAATAGCCCTGCACCTCCACTGGGGTCTTCCATATCCTCCCTCTCTTTAGCTTGTCACTGCCACAATTACTCCAAGAGACTGCTATTGTCCCCAGATTTATCAGTGGAAACTGGGGTTCCAGACAGAGATGTGACTTCCACAAAATCACACAGACTCTACTCTGCAGGGAGAGCATAGGGCCAGGTCCTGGCATTTGCGACCTTCATGAAAGACACTTCCCTTGGCTCACACAGAGCAAGCTGAGACAAGCCCTAGGCGGAGTGTTTGCATCCGGGCCTAGGCCCCCCAGCCTCTGGCATGGACCCGGGTGGGGACACGCGTACTGTTAAGGTTAGCGGGAGTCTGCCTCCTTCCTTGCCGGCCTGGACCTGGCAGGACGGCACGAAGTTTTAGGGCCGATTCCCAACTCCCGGATACAAGATGGGTTTTCTGTGTCCACGGAAGATGGGCTGGGCCCGCGGCCCCTGAGGTAACTCCAGGGCGGAGGTTGGGTGAGTGTCATCACCTCCTCGTAGTAGGTCTCAGGCTCGCCCCTTAGACTCCGGGTCTCGAAGTCCCCTGCGAGGCTTCTCCGCCTCTGTCTAGCTTTCTGCAGTCTCTTAGCCTCGTTGAGGGTATCTCTCACGTCTCTGCCGTGTTCCTTGCGTCTCCCTCCAAATCTCTCCGGATTTTATTTCTATTCCTGACCTGCTCCTGGTTTTCTCACAAATCGGGGCAAGGGAAGCGGTCGCAGCAAGCGCTCCCTGAGGACGCAGGAGTCGGGCGCTGGAGGGCTTGGAAAGTGTGCGCGACAATCCTTTCTCTGCCTTTTGGCTAAAATCAAGTGTAGAGTGTGCGCGACAGCCAAGTGCAGCCGCGTCGGGCCACTAGAGCCGGCCGGGCTCCCGCCTAGGGAGGAGCCGGGGAGCGCGCACGCGAGTGCCCAGAGACAGGAGGGGGGCGCTCCTGGGCCCCCGGGCACCCAGGGGACCCCAGGCCCCGCCCCTCGCGTTCCTATTGGCCTCGGACTCCCCCGCCCCACGCCGCCCTCTCCAACTCCCCGGCTTTTAGGCTACTACAGACAAATTGCCCGGGGCGCCCGGCGAGGAGCTGGGAGTGGGGACGCCGCGGGACGCCACCGCCCCGCCGCCACTTTCCCCGCCGCACCTCCGGCTGGACAGGACTGGGCGGGGTGGGGGACAGTCGGTCGTGCATTCAAATCCCAGCACTTTGCCACCGCACCGCTGGGGCTGCGGAGTGAGGGGCGGAAAGTTCAGGGCAACTCCTGCCGCTTGGATTGGGCGAGACCAGGACCGCACCATCCCCTGCTGGGACATGGAGTTACTGTCGCCGCCGCTCAGAGACGTAGACTTGACGGGCCCGGACGGCTCTCTCTGCTCCTTTGTCACAGCCGATGACTTCTATGACGACCCATGTTTCGACTCCCCGGATCTGCGCTTTTTCGAGGACCTGGACCCACGCCTGGTGCACGTGGGCGCGCTCCTGAAGCCCGAGGAGCATTCGCACTTCCCGGCAGCTGTGCACCCAGCCTCGGGTGCGCGCGAGGACGAGCATGTGCGCGCACCCAGCGGGCACCACCAGGCCGGCCGCTGCCTCCTGTGGGCCTGCAAAGCTTGCAAGCGCAAGACCACTAACGCAGACCGCCGCAAGGCTGCCACCATGCGCGAGCGCCGCCGCCTGAGCAAAGTCAACGAGGCTTTCGAGACGCTCAAGCGCTGCACGTCCAGCAACCCGAACCAGCGGCTGCCCAAGGTGGAGATCCTGCGCAACGCCATCCGCTACATCGAGGGCCTGCAGGCTCTGCTGCGCGACCAGGACGCCGCGCCCCCTGGCGCCGCCGCCTTCTACGCGCCGGGCCCGCTGCCCCCAGGCCGCGGGGGCGAGCACTACAGTGGCGACTCGGACGCGTCCAGCCCGCGCTCCAACTGCTCCGACGGCATGGTAAGGCTGGGACCCGGGCCGGGAGAGACGGAGGCAGCGCTCCTTACGTCTGCGACGCGTTTCCTAGCGCGGGGAACCGGTCCTTGGGGTAGGGAGCCTTCCTGGGAGTGCGTCCCTGCGCCCCGGGCAGCGTACGCTGGGGTAGCCCAAAACTTTGGACGAACGCGATCCGCCAGATCGGGGCGCTAATAGAACACTGCGCCGACCTGAAAGTATGATTTTTCTCCACTAATCCCTATTTCCAAAATGTAGATTTGGGCCACTAAGTGATCGCCCACCCTCCGTTTGGCCTTGCGTGCCGCAGATACCAGCTCCTGCGGGCTCCTACTTCTCATCACAGACAGATCTGGTCCCAGAATTTGTGGCTGACACTTGGGGGCGGCGGGCTGCTGGGAGTGGTGCTTGGGCCCCTAGCGGTCCCGCGGCCCTGACTGGGACGTCCTTGCTGTTTGCAGATGGACTACAGCGGCCCCCCGAGTGGCGCCCGGCGGCGGAACTGCTACGACGGCGCCTGCTACAGCGAGGCGCCCAGCGGTGCGTATTCCCCGCTTCGCGCCGCGCGCGCCTCCTTCGCGTATCCCCCCCGGAGCGGCCCTGGCCTCCCTCTATCTCATCCCCCCTCCGGCACACGCTTGCATCCGGGGTCCCGGCGCACCGAATGAAATTCTGCGCGTGCGGCTCCCTCCCCTTTCGCCCCGCACTCTCTCGCTGGCTAGATCGCCCCAGAGGCTGGCAGGTCCTCAGTTTCCCCTCTGCCCCACTCTGCGCTGGGCCCAGGGGTGGGACCTTGCCCCGCAGCTCAACCTCTGCTGACGAACTCCCCGCTCCCCGCGCAGAGCCCAGGCCTGGGAAGGGGGCGGCGGTGTCGAGCCTCGACTGCCTGTCCAGCATTGTCCAGCGGATCTCCACGGAGAGCCCCGCCGCGCCCGCGCTCCTGCAGGCCGACGCTCCGCCAGAGTCGCCTCCGCGCCAGCAAGAAGCGGCCGCCCCCAGCGAGGGCGAGCTGGGCGCCCCCACCCCTTCCCCGGACGCCACCTCGCAGGGTCCCTCGGGCGCGAACCCCAACCCCATCTACCAGGTGCTTTGAGGGGCGCGATGCCCTCCCGAGGGATGGTGCTCTAGGGTCCCTCGAGCCCAAAGGTTGAGTTTAAATGCCACTCCTCCCAAGCGCGCTTTAAAAGCGACCCCTCCCGGGCGGGAGAGACCGGTCACCTGGAAAGCGTTCCCGCCCCCTTGACCGCAGCGCGAGGACGCTGCGGGTTTTCCACGCGGCACCTTTCCCCGACACTCACGCGATGGCCGCCTGGGGTTTCTCGGTGAGGCGCAGCCACCCTTCAAGGGCCAGGCCCTTCCTTTTCCGTGCTGCCTCCAGCAAGGGGGCTGAGACCCTTGCAAATCTACGCCCCCCCCCCCATCACCACCACCACCACATCCGGGTGTTTTTTAGGGGCTCGGCCCCTACCTTCCAGAGACCTCGCTACATGCTACACCCACCTTTCCCCACCGCCTGCGGGGTGCGCTCCAGCCCCCCCTCCCACCCCGTCCCGCGGTTCAGGACCACTTTTTGTAATACTTTTTGTAATCTATTCCTGTAAATAAGAGTTGCTTTGCCAGAGCAGGAGCCCCTAGGGCTGTATTTATCTCTGAGGCATGGTGTGTGGTGCAACAGGGACTTTGTATGTTTATACGGCAGGCGAGCGAGCTGCGGGCGCTCGTTGCGGGCGCTCGCTCGGGTGTTGGAAATAAAGACGCTAATTTATACAGCGGTGGCTCCGGCTTTCCTTAGGCTGGGGGTTGCGGGTGGGGTCGAGATCTGGAGGAAGCGTAGCGAGCTGCGCCAGCTGCCCCGCAGCGACCCCTGTCGGCAGCAGACGGATTGCAGGAAGACAGCCTGCTGCCACCGGAAGGAGAGCGTGTCTCCCACTTGAGGGAGTCCCCGACCTTGACTTACAGCTCCACGCACAAGTCAGTGATTCTCAGGGAAGGATCCACAATAGATTGATCTGCGTAGTTTAAAAAAAAAAATCCTTGCCCGGCCCCTCCTCCTAGAGACTCAGATTTAATGTCTGTGCAGATACCCAGGCCACTTACTGTCATTTTTCAAAAGCTCCCCCTGGTGATCCTGAAGTATTGTATACAAGACAATCATGCCCTCCAAATGAACCGAGTGACCCTAGGTGTCTCCAGAGGATCACCGGGAGGTCATGGCCCCAGGTGTCACTCAGTCCTTGCAGGGAGAGAACATAGGATAGGTGCCCACAGCATTAAGAGGAAAACCCAAAGCGAGCAGCTTTGCACACCCTGGTATTCACAGGCTCTTAACGATAGATGACGCAAAGGTACAGCATCCCAGACAGGCTGCTCCACTCAGCCTGTAACCCGCACTTGCAGGGTCCAGGGCCTGTTCCATCTCATAAGAAGACAGGGTGCAAGTGCCTTGAGGAGAGGGCCATGCAGGACCAGCATCGTCCCAAGTGGCATACATGCTTTCCTCAGACTGTAAACTCCAAGAGCAGGGCAAGGGCCTCTGGTTTAGCATAGGTGCTGAGGACGGCTTCCTAAAGGGGAGGCCACCGCAGCTTGTTTTGTGAAACAAGAGTAGACTATGGTCACAATGCCCATGGAGGGACACCAGCCACACACAGACACCTCTGCCCTCCCTTTGTCTCCAAGGCCAAGAAAGGGGTGGCCAGGCAAATGTTCCTTCCCACTCACATGCACAGTACCTCAGCACCACCTACGTTCGCCCTGCAGACCCTTTCCCTGAAACCCGACAGGCCCATGTTCAAGTGGTGGGCAGACCCTTGGCTCATTGGCTCATTCTTGACTTTATCCATTCAACAGATGCCAGGTCCTGTGCTGGGAGGAATCAGAGACCACTGGACACAGTTCCTGCCCTTAGGAGCCACCCAGACTTTTGGGGGATCGCATCATGATCACACGATGAGTGCAGCACCATGATGGGAGCAGGGGGTATGAAAGGAGCAGAGGGAAAGTTCCCTAACCAGTCTTCTGTGGGCCTAGACAAGCAGATAACCTCTAATAAGTCTGGCAGCACCTGGCCAAGAGGGAGGAGGCACCAAAGCAGGGTGCTCCAAATTGAGGCGATAGCAAGTGCAAAGAGCCAGAGTAAGAGAGAGAAAACCGCCTTCAGCCAACCAAAGGTGTTCCGGGGCAAGGGGCCAAGGCGAGGGGGGAAAGACAGAAGTAGGGGCACAGTGGATCCCATTTGGGCTTCATCCTGACAGCAGCAGGGAGCAGAAAGGAATGAAAGCAGAGCAAGGATATGAATAAACCTGTACTTTTGAATGGTCAGGTTGGGCAGGCAGAATGGACAGGAGGGAGCAAGGCTTGAGAGAGATAAGTGCTATAAGGGAAAGAAAGGGTGCAATGAGAGGTGGAATAAGAAGGTGATCAAATGAAGAGTGAGGAGGCAGTTTCTGCACTGAAGAAACCAACCGTAGACATGAAGGGGCTTCCAGCACACAGGGAGTCAGTGTGCAATTACAAAAAGGTGCCCCTTTGCTCCTGGGGAAGCTGTCCTGCTCCAGGGCTCATGGCTTTGCAAGCAGAAAGCAGGCTGGACCTCTGTCCCCACCCACCTCCTCAGGTAGGTGCACTTGTGCAGTGAACAATCTACGTAACTGTTCACAGCACCCTGAATATGGAAGCCCTAGGCAAGTGGGGAGAAAGAGAGAACCGGGATGACTTCAGTGGTGCCTCTAGTGGCGAATCTTGATTGTCAACTTGATTGGTTTGAAGGCCACCTAGGAAACGAGTAAAGCACAGGTGGGTATGTCTGGGTGTGCTATGAAGACGTGGCTTAGGGACTGTATGCAGTCCCTGGCCCCTTCTTATCTGGCTCTGTCGTCCTGCCCTCTGCTTCCCAGATGTGAGGGTTGAGTAGCTTTGCTCTGCCATGCCCTTCCACCATGATTTTTCCGCCTTGGAGCCAATTATAGACTGAAACTGTGAGCCAACATAACCCTTCCTCCTTGAAGTTGTGTATGTTGGAGATTCTGTCCCAGCAATGGAAAGCTGACCAAGACAGTGCCATTGTAATGATGGGGGCCTCGGGAAGAGAAGGAGGGATGGGAATGCATTTAGCCAGGACATTTCGAGTTGTAAGCAACAGAAACCTCATTCAAAGTAGCTTTAACCCAACCTGTGGTGCACTGGAAGGACACCAGGCAGCTCACACATGGAAGTGGAGCTATTCGCATCATAGCACCAGTGGGCTTGGGATCTGGGACTGGAGCCCCTTCCATTTTTCCATGCAGCCCTCTTTATCTTCTCTTCTTGGTTTCACTCTCTCCTAATCTATATTGGGTTTCTCCAGCACCTTGGGGGTTATCTCAGATCTCACTCTTGAACTCCAATTAGAAAATTCCCAGAGATCACATCTATTTGCACTAACTTGGGTTGTGAAGAAGGATTTAAACCCAGGCTGAAGGCTTCTAGAAATTTTGTGTTTTTGCCTGTTGCTCTGTGGTCTCCAAAGAGGAAGACAGAAGAAAGGGAGGAAAGTTAGAGGAGAAGCTGGAGATTAGATCACAACGTATCAGGGGCCTCTCTTGTCCCTTCCCTCAGTCCCCTCAGGGAGCATCTAGCTGAGCCCAACTCCATTTGCATTGTAGCCAAAACGTCGCTTTCTGTGGGGCCATTATTACCTTGGCTGGATCTGGAAGCACCAGAGCCATGTCCTTAGCACATACATATGTGTCTTGCATGTGTGTTCATACAATGGCACATGTGTGCCTAGAATGCACCACAGGCTGATATGCCCTGAAGACAACAGAGGTTAGGTCCCCTCCCTTCCACGAGCCTCTTCCAAAGCCCTGGGAAAAGCCCTAGAAATACATGGCCTAGTCCATGTGGTCTAGCTTCCTTTTTAATTTACTAAATTACTTTAAGAAATCCATTTATGATCACTCCATTTTTTAATTCTGATTTCCTCTTGTGTTTGGTGGCATTTATGGACATACTGAGACCCTATCTATAGGAATACAATTCATTTGGGTTGAGTGGAATATATTTTAAATAAATGGAATATAAAACAGAAGCAATAGTCTTGAAAAATATCACTGATTTTCACATTGAGAAGATAATCATACCGAAAGATAATTTATTAAAAGAAAGGGATCCCTTTTGAATAGAATTTTAGAGAAGACTCTTGCATTGTTTGATTTTCTAATCAATAAGGAACAGGGACTTGTATAAACACATTGGAAAAAATATTTAATTTTTTGCTAATCTGATATAAAACACTGACGTTAACAAAGATAGTTTAAAATTCATAACACTCCATTATAACTAGACCTCAACAACATCAACATATTTTTTAATGTAACCTGTCAATTTAAAAATATTTCAAATTTATCACCACACAAGAAACTCAAAATGACTTGAATTCTTACAGCCTACAGAGGAAAGAAACTTGACTGAGATTTCCCTAAATGTGACATCAATCCTAAAAGTGTACGTGACATTTCCAACCGAGTTACGAGCCTGAAAAATCTTCCTGAAGTTATCAATGGTACAAAACAAGTTTGGATCAACCATGTTGAAGGAAAGACTTCTCTCTCTCATAAGACTTCTCTTTCTCTCATAAGACGCTCTTATTCTCTGCACAGAAAATGATGCTATAAAACCACTGTCGCATGAAGAGGCTAAGAATGTGCAGCCTGGCAAGGTGGGAAGGGGTAGGCAAGGCTGCAAAAGGAGCAACAAGAGGAAAGCAGAAAGAGGCACAGAGGAGGAGGACCATCAAGACAAAGTTGATGATGTGATAATGATGAACAAGTTGGTTCTGGCTCAATTTTTTCCTCATCTGCAAGACATTTAAACTGCCTGCACACAAATCACTGCTATTTTTAAAAGTTATATTTGAGGCTGTGCAATATTTGTTTTTATACTGTACAGGATCACTTTTGTGGGGTTAACATTTTTTCAGATAATATTTAACGGTGGGTTTGAATCCATGTAGGACTCTCACGGGAGCAGAGGTGAGTGAGTCCAGAATGTATCAGTGGCCGTGTGATTGCCTGGGGCAGAGGCCTGACTGTGGCACTGGCCTCTTCTGGACCTTGGCTTGGACTTCAGCTTTCTCTCTGTGAAATGAAATGCCGTTTTTAAAAGGTATCGTGGCACACAGCTGTAATCCAGATGCTCTGGGAAGCCAAGGCAAGAGAATTGCAAGTTCAAGCCCAGCCTGGGGAACTTAGCAACTTACGGAGATCTTGTCTCAAAAAAAGGGTGGAGGGCTGGGGACGTAGCTTAGTGGTGCCGCACCTAGCTGGTAAATGCAAGGTCCTGAGGTTGATCCCTGGTACTGAAAAACGACAAAGCAAAACAAAGGTGAGGAGGGGCTGGAAATGTAACTCACTGTGAAGGACCTGGGCTCAATCCCCAGTACCAAAACAAAATGTATATTCCAGTTCTAAAATTCTTTAGTAATTCACTTAAAGTATTTCAGAAAAAACAAAAGAACAATGAGGTAGCTCAGTTTGCATGGTCCCAGGTCAGGACCCTGAGATGATGCAAACTGGGATTTTTCTCAGTATAGGCAAGTTATTTATACCCACCTATAGCTGATTTTTATAACCCCCTTAGCTGATTTTTCTTTCTTTTATTTTCCCCAAATTTTAATGAAGATATAAAACAAAATTTACCCTTTGAAAGTATTTCAGTGGTTTGTATCACATTCACAAGGTTGTAAAACCATCACCACTATCGAATTCCAGAAT